CCAGAAACAGCAAAAATCCGCGCTCCGAAGACGAGACCTACATCGGTTCAATTCCTTGGTGGACGATACACGCTACGGCGGATACCACATCAATCCATGATGACGAGCGGTACACAACAAAGTTTGGTTGGCTGGCCTCTCGCTACAGGAGGACTCGTTGGTGGTTCTTTGTCGTCTGGCTGTTCTACGAATTCGTTCGAGCATGCTTCCTTGCCGGCGCATCGACTCAGCCCTTCGTCCAGGTCTTCGGTCTACTTGTCGTTGAGATTGTTGCCTTCATCGCCTTCACTATCCTTCGCCCCTTCGAAGGACAGCGCCTGAACGTTTTGGCCGTGTATCTTCTCGGCTTTAGCAAGATTACTACTACAGGTCTTTCGGCAGCCTTTGATACACGGTTTGGAATCGCTCGTATCCCTACAACCGTTATCGGCATCATCATAATCGGTATCCAAGGTCTCTTGACGGTGGCTGTGATGGTTTTGATCCTGGTCGGCGCTGTCTCAAGCTACCTGTCCATCTTGCGGAACCGCGAACAAATGGCGCCGTTGAGCTGGAACCCGATGCGTGAGAAGTACTTTGCGCATATCGATTTCGCAGTGCAAGACATTCCGCGACCACGTGCGGGGTCAATTAACTCGATGCCAGAGTTGCCCAAGACACCGTACTTTGAAGTAAGGCATGTGAAGCGGATAGCCAAGGTTGAGGACGAGGACGACGAGTTCATGCGAGAGATGGACAGCGATCATGCGACGTCCGAATACTTGCTGCCTACACAAATTGGCGATGATACCACAGACCGGCCCACCCAACGTAACAGAGCAGGAAGCCTTCAATCGCAAGCGACTTACTCAAGTCTGCCCAAGGCAGCTCGCCTACACCGTCCCAACTGGAGTAGACACGGATACAGCGATTCAATCAGTCCGGGTCGCCACAGGGCTTTGAGCGAAGCTCATATGAAGACCCCCAAGCAGAGTCACGAGACAATCGATACGTATCCAAGTCCACTAGGCCTTCATCCCAATCAACTCAATACGCCAGCGCTTTCTTCTTCGGTGCTCTCGGACGAAGACCACATCGCCACCCCAGACACACGAGCAACAAGTCAACTGGAATATGCCTCACGGTCGAGCTCAAGGCCCAAACTGGAGACTAGGATCACCGAAGAGCCTATACCTTCCATTCCGAAGCACAGAAATGCAGACTAAGCTCAAAATAATGCGGAGCAGCCATAGCACCTACATCAGCAGCAGAGACCTATAAGCCGTACATCCTCACGCAACAGCTTTCGATCAGCTTACCCAGTATGATACGACGGTATATGAAGACACGTCAACCAAAAAAAACCGAACAGGCCTGCAGTCTACATCAATATGAAAACCTACGAGATAGGTGACCTGGCGTCGGCGTATGCTCCTGACCTGTTCGGAATTTTTCTTGTATGAGGTGAAGAGCTCAACGAGTTCCGGTGAAACATCGCATCGAGCATCCAACATCGCTTCGGCACATCTGTATTGGTCTTTCAACACAGCATCAGCAATGAATACCTATGATCCTTCGACAACAACCCATATACCCACAGCAACAAGCAGACGACATTTCCTTTCATTTTCTTCAGCAGCATGGCGTTAGCGGTATCTGCATGGCTTCGCGACGGGAGAAAGACCATCTCGGCGCTTGATTTAGGATGTTGGATACGGCATGTTTACGAAGTGTATGAATAACGAACAAAGCCGGATAGTAGCTAGACGAAGGCAGGAGTGGCAATGCGCATAATGGAACAATGATAATGATGAAACATTGCGTCGCTGATGGTGGGCTATGCTGGTGAGGTTGGTGCATGCATGCGTGATGTGTGGTGTTGGCCGGTTAGACTCCACTTGTACCAACTTTTTTTCCTCGAGCGTCGACCGGCGGCCCGCTCCTTGTGCGCAGAAGTCCGATGTCAGACATTGCGACGGCGCGTCACCAGCCACACCATACCAAGGGACCTCAACCAGCGCTAAACCTTCTCACCGCATACATGGGTGCAAAACAATAAATCCTGAAACGCCCATGAGCCATGTCGGCTCCCAGCCGCTCTGCTTAATCTTTAATCTCCACGACAGAGGGACATGGAGATTGAAAGCAAGATTGCGGTTCTGGGCATCGAGGGTCCGATCCAAGATCGTGTTTTGGTGTTAATTCCGATGTGCCAGGTTAGCCGTGCTATTTCCAGCAGATGCCTTGGAAAGATGCCATGGCATCCAAGCGATATGAGCATGCGGTCGGGCAGTCTAGACCACGATTCTTGCTTGCAGTTGCTTGGAAAGACTAGCTCCCGCGGTACGGATGATAACATGGGTTGCGAAAAGGTGGTGAGACGTTGAGACGAAAACCCATGTGGCCCGCGTGCCGTTGCCCTGTTTGCTGAGACTGCCTGACGGACTGATGTCAATATGGGTGGATGACCCGCGCACGCGTGTTTGAGCTGTGGCGTCACCTCATCAACGAGGCGAGAGAGCGGCTGGAGAAAAGGCAGCACGGGTTGGGTGGAGATTTGGAGCCGCTCGTTGTGTGCAAGGATGCGGAAGAGAATTAGATGGGCCGCCACAGATGGCTACGTCACAGTTACGGACACGGACGATGCAGGCTGCACGACAGTTCTGGGAATGTTGCAACGGTGGAGCCATGCCGGATAAGAGCATCTGGGGTGATCAAATATGGGTGGATGATGGCTACAGGTGAGGAGAAGGAGGTGGGCGGGCAGGCGTGGTTGGCACGATAACGGTGGTCTGGCGTCGCACAACGTCGAGCAGCGGTAGTGTGGCCGCACCAAATCAGCAGCATGGGCTTATCGAAAGTCGGTCTACCTGCTTCGGGGGCTGCCATGGCAAAGTCATCGTGATCGTGAGAGGCGGGCATTGCGTTGCCCATGGGCCCAGCCACGCGCAGGCTGCGATCGCTACTGCATCAGGGACGGGCAGTGACGTCGGCGCTCTTTAAGGTTGTGGCGCGCGACCCACACCCGACGTCGACGTCGCAGGGCCAACCCTGTTTTGCGCGACTGCTTTGAGCGCGTCCGCCGCCCATCCTTGCCGCATCGGGCGGCTTGGTTGGCGCAAACCTGACTTTTCCCGCTGACGATGCGAGCTTGGCTGTTTGCAGACGCAGCACAGTCACCTGCAGGAATGGAGTTTGAGTCGGGAAATTTCGTTACGCAGGCCAAAGATTGAGGTGAAGGATCTGGAGGACAAGGGGGCACGGACGCCGCGTGACGTAGCGGTTGTGCAAGGGCGGTCGTTGTTCCGGCGCCTGGCTCGCGGCTGCTTATAAGTGAGAGGGCTCAAAGCCCTTTGTTGTGATACCACACTCTCCCCAAACCATACCATCTACCAACGAACCTACGAACAGCCGCCTCTCTACCTCGAGTCCTCCATCCACTACACCACCGATACCTTCACCAGAACAACACCGCTATCATGGGTGCCGTAGTCTCTTGCATCAAGTCGGTCGTACGTATCCCTCATTCATCTACTCATAGCAACCGTCCCTAACATTCTGTCTAGTTCCGCACCATCGGAAACTGCATCATGGCCATTGTCAACGCCATCGCTGCTGGTCTTAAGGCAATCATCAACGCCATCGTCTCCCTCTTCGGCATCATCATCAGCTGCCTCACCTGCGGACGCGGCGGCGGCCGAAAGAGGACAACGCATACTAGTAGAGTCTAGTGTGAACCCGTTTCCCACATGTCGCCGTACTGATCATTACTTCCCCTTGTGAAGGATGGCGCATGAGGAGATACGGGTACTACTAAGGCGCTATATCTACTACCCAACTACTACTACGACGACGAACGATGATCGCTCGACGGCCGTTACTTCTTCACTGCCAGGACCACACGACGATACGATACGTTTACAACACATCGCCGCGTAGTCTTCGCAAAGTAACGGACGGAGCGCGATTGTCTCTTTTCGGACGAGAGAGTGTGGATGTTTATACCCTATACTATACCCCCGGTATCGAACAAGGAAGACGGATGCGGTAATGAACGAAACAGCAAGCATGGAGTTTGAGCGAACACTTTTCCCTTTTGTTTTGTGGAGTCTGAGAGAGATGGATGCCAAAGGGTCGTGGAAAGGAAATCATTCTTGATGGATCACGGACCTGTCGCATAGATACCCCCAGCTTTCAATCAGACTTACTATAATACCCAAACATTCGTCTTCTTCTGGTGACTGTTTTCTTTGCATTGTTGACACGCTGTACTGTTACTCACGGTAATCACAGGTCGTACCCAAATAAACAATGCCGCTGCACCCCTCGACTCGCTGCCACAGCCTACTGCACCACCGGCTCCCCATTTACTCTTCGTCGCCATGGTTGCCCTGTTGCATTTGCATTGCAGGACGTCGACAGCGCAGACGGTGGAAACAATAGCGTCTGCGCCACACATGCGTAGTGCATGCGCTTGCATGACGCCGTTGAAACGCTGCTGGCACGCTACAGGAACTTTCCTACACTAAGACCACTTCAGCACCAAAGCTGAACATCTGACTTTCTCATGTGTTGAACAAACCCGAGAATGCGAATCTGCTGATGTCGAAATGGATGGTGTTGCTGACGACGTCGATGTTGTTCGAGGTGTCACCTTATACAACGAAAAAGCTGAAAAGTTGCGCTACTGTATACATTGATGCGAAAAATAACATTAATCCAGTGTGAAGATAATGTAGGCTTCTGAGGTAGGTGTTAAGATCTTTTGGTATGTGGTGCTCATCAAGCCAATGAAGGAAGACAACATCAAGATATGTTTGTCTCGTTGTTCTCAGACAAAATCTCCAAGTAATAATGGTGAGTTTGATAACCTTCATATCGTCAAAGATGTCGCGACCACATTTCAGGACATCAAACATTTCCCTCACTATTGCGACAACAAAGCTCAAGCACTTCGCTCTCACCTACGCCATTCTCAAACCACCAACTCTACACACCACCCCACAAACGCGATTCCCAAGATGGACGCAGCAATGTTCCCGCAAATCGCCTTCATAGTCTTCCTCGCCCTGATGGTCATTCTGATAATCTTCTACTCCATCACATCCTTCTACATCCCCGCCATCAACGACCTCATCGTTTCCGTATTCAAGCACATGCGACTGGCTCAACGTCAAGAAGCCCGGAACGCGCGAGAGGCCAACAAAGGACATGAAGGCTGGATCACAGATGGTATGCACCCGATGTACATAATCCACGACCGAAAGACTGACATGTCTGCTAGGTATGAGCGGAGACATCCATTCGGCGTTGCATATTGGTAGCGGTGGCACACAGAATGCTCCGATCTGGATTTCGGTCTCGAATACTGATGGTGTACCTCCTGCTCAGCGGGGCGCAAGACGGGAAGCTCGACAACAGGTATGTGGGCGCGGTGAAACTCGCGGTTCCTCAGGTTGACTGACGTGTAGAGACTGACGCGTAGAAGTGAGATGCTAGTCCGTAGCACGAGTATGCTTGGTTGATGGGGGATGTATGGATGGTGAGGGGTATATCGCGATGCAGGGGAGGGTTAGAGATGAGGAGAGACGAAGTAGCGTATTTGTCTTCAGCATGTCGTGTAGACGACAAGACTCATGATCGCGACGAAGACGTCGACGTATAGATACTTGCAGAAGTATACAGCGCAAGAAGATCAATAGACCATCCTCATCATTCTCTCGTACCAACCCCTCCTCTCCTCTCCTTCTATCATACCTACCCACCCCACCGCATAAACCCAAAAACAGCATTCAGCACCACCCCCATGACAACAGCAACCTGCCTCCTCCTCGTCCAAACGCCCTCCTCCCTAAACCCCCACACCAAGCTTCCCAGCGGAAAGAAGAAGCCAGTCAGATACCCATACAGCATATCGTCCAACCCGCCTTCTTCGACCGCAAACCCCGCGCCCCAGCCCGCATCTGTGCCAGCACCACCAGCCCCCGCAGCGCCACCTGTAAGCGAGGCAGAAGGATCGTTAGCGGAAGAGTCCAGCCATCTGTCTTCCAAGACGCGGATCTGTGCGGGCGTAGGCATCGTATCAGGCGTATGCGTAAACGAGAGATTCTGCGTAAACGTCGCCCTCAGAGAAGCGATTTCATCCCTCGTAAACCCCGAGCTTAGCAATCTATCGAAGCCCTGCGCTTGCGGCACAGTATTCGCCGTATTCGTCGTAGCCGTCGAGCTACGTCTCCGTGCATTGTGGTCTATAGCCGTACTGCTTGCGCGCCGTCCTGGCGCAGAATAGGGAGATGTACTATAATGCGACTTCAACGCTATCTCTGTGTTCTGGGCGAGTGTGGCTTCGCTGGCGAGTTCGGGGGCGGAGAGCGCGTCGCCGAGGGAACAGTGGATGTAGTATTTCTTTGCTGAGGGGGGTATGGATATGTCTGTTGTTGTGCCGTATTCGATCGCGGGTGTTTCGCGTAGGGGTTGTTTGCCTTTGCTCTTGCTGGCTTCGCCGCTACCGCCTCCCGCTGCATCGCTGTTCTTGGTATTTCGAGGAGGCGGTGGGGGTGGTAATCGTAGGGATTTCGATAGTGGCTCAGTGTCTGCGAGGACTTTGCCCGCGTAGATGAGGCGTAGGCGCGCGGAGGCATGTTCGGATGGGAGGTGTTGGCGGATGAGCTGTTTGAGGGAGAGGGTCGCAATCGTTCGTGGGGTATGTATTGAGAGTGGAAGATCCGGTACTGAGGCCGTAAAGCGTATGATGAGATAGATGAGTTGCTCGGGGAGAGCTGGCGCATTCGACATGGTGGATGTGGAGAGCTGCGGCAGCTGCTTGGGAATTGAGGTGATCGTGGGCTATTGATTGGGGATATCGTATCTGTATGGGGTCATAACGGTCGTAGCTTCATTATTCGCAATGGAGTGGTATGTCTGGTGGTGATCCTGCGGTTCGCGATGTTCGCGCTATCGACCATGCGACGCGGCAGCTCGCCCGGAGCTTAGCAGCGCTGAGGTCATTATATCCGAAGTGCATCCCGCCATGTTAACTGCCCCTCTTTAGCCATTCGCTCCATCACCACCCCTCGCATCCTGATCAGTTGTTCGTACCGACTTGTTCTCAAGATGACGATCATTCACATTGTGCTATTCGAGTGGAAGTCCACTGCTTCACCAGAGCAGATCTCAGAAGTACCTTCATAGCCAATCTAAACATACATCATTTATATTAATACATCATAGGCTTGTAGCCGCATGCTCGGCTTGAAAGACAAGTGCATTCATCCGACTTCCCAGAAGCCATACATCAAGTCCTTCTCAGGTGGCAAGAACAACAGCCCTGAAGGCCACAGCGTATGTCATGTTCCCAAGTTCCCTCACACCTGCTCACATGCGCAGGGCAATTCGACCCATGGTTTCGTAGTGGAGTTTGAGAATGAAGAGGACCGCGACTACTATGTATACAAAGACCCTGCCCATCAGGATTTCGTAAAGCTTGCTGGAGAGGTGGCGAATGGCGTGAAAGTGTTCGATTACGAGCCAGGGAAGATGTAGATGTAGTGTCTGTAACGAATGAAGGATGCCATTGGCGCCCAGTGCTGCAAGTATGCTGCCGAATTGTGCAGGTGTCATGGTCTCCAGACAGCGCTGTTCTTGAACTTGCAATGGTAGTGTCGCGAGTGTATTGCAGGTACGTGGAGAAGCTAAGTAGCAATCGTGCTACCGGTGGTGGTAATGATATTCGAATTATGTCATATGTATGTGTAACGCCGAAGATGCAACGCCGGTAATGCTTCTATAAGGTATAGTGATTGAATCGTAAGGGTATCATGATACGCTGAAGGACTCGCCGCAACCGCACTGCTCCGCTGCTAGATGTTAGTCTTGATCTCTCGTAGTACATTGTGTCGGTACTTACTGATGTTGGGGTTCTTGAAGATGAAGCGCTCGTTCAGCTTGTCTTCCAGCCAGTCCATCTCGCTTCCAATAATGTTCAAAAGCGCCTTGTTGTCGATCAGGACCTTGACGCCATCCTGCTCAACCTGCTCGTCCAGCGGGCTTGGCTTGTCCACGTACTCCAAGTGATATGCCAGCCCAGAGCAGCCCTTTGCCTTTGTGCCAATCCGGATAAGCTTGGGCTCTGGTAGCTCAAGGAGTTCGCGGAGATGCGATACTGCCGACTGTGATAGCTTGATGGTCGCCTTCCGTGGCCCGAAGTTGTAGCGACGCGGTCGTAACGGCTTACTGGCACCTGCTGCCTGCTGTGGCTTCTGTGCTTCGCCTTCGGGTATGCTCACGTTCGGTTGCTCGGAAGATGTCGCGGGAATGTGTTCTTGCGGCGGTAGTTGTGGGGTCTTCGCATTGTTTGCCTCGGCTGCTCCACCTGCTATCGATGTGTCGGGTACGCCAGCATTCCTTGGTGGCGGCTGCGGATATAGCGATGAAGGGTGGTACGCAGTCGCCGTCTGCATCTGGCGCTTAGCTGACTGTCGATACGGTATCGACGAGGCGAAAGTGCGCGCGCATTGCGGGCATCTGCGGGGAGTAGCCGAGGGGGCGGCGAATCGTAGGAATGTCGAGCTGGAGCGCGCAAAGGCAGTCGTGGTTCGAGGCAGCGACATGATCAAAGGGTGAGAGGTCCAAGGAGTGCTCTGAGTGGACTTGGTAAGGCGCGTGTGCTGAGTGAATAGATGGCAAGGTACGGCTGGTGCATTGTCACTAAATTCGCCGAAGCCTATGTCATCCGCGGCGATTTCCGGGGCAATTTGACACGATTATAAAGCACGTGCTGATTGGCTGCCAATCTCCCGAAGGTTCGGAACTTCGGAATCACAAGTCACACCATCATAAGCCCACCTCGAAAGTTCACCTGGGCACCTTGTCCTCGAACAAGCCGCCACAGTATAATTTCCTGTTGTAAGCCCTTCTACCACGTATGATAGTTCCGAAACCTCTCAACACTGGTAGCATGGCAGCCCCGCCAGTTTGCAAAACTATTCAGCGTCCCCTAGAATAGCGGGAAACCATCTACTCTGTGAGCATTACACCTGGGTACTTGCGATTTATCTCATCCCTGAGTTGTCTAATCGCCTAGCTTATTGGTATTGCACAAGATGTAAGTGGCTCGTTCCGCTCTGCATGATCGTAGTCAAGTCGATGGTAATTCTGATCCATGGATTGGTGCTGCTTCGCCCGCGAACAACATAGGCCAACCACGGATCATAGCAGCAAACTGGTAACTGTAATATCGAGCATTTCCAATGAGTCCGCCACATAAATGCAATAGTAAATTTTCCATAAGTATAAAACAGCGTCCTCGTCTTTATCTCCGTCTTCACCGCCGCCTTCAACACCAGCGACACTGCACTTAAGAAACAACGTCGCCCGTACTACAACTCTACCCCCAAGGTCCACACATGGCCGCATCCACCATGCAGAATACAGATAAGTCTCTGTTGATGGCCTTACCAACCGAACTGCGCTGTTACATCTACGACTACTTCCCCGAGCGTGTTTTCAAACGTGTGTTCCCCACACTAGGTATCGGCACCTGGGCAGAACTTCGAATGCCGACCGCCCTACTTCAAGTGAACAAGACGATTCTCGACGAGGCTCAACAACACTTGAGGACGAGGAATATGCAGAAGTCCCCTAAAGTTACAATCGGCCTAGTACCTAGGTCTGCCGCAAGGGAGGCTATGTTCACCTTAATATCAGACATATTCCACGAGGCTAGGAGACAACGCTGTACATTGTTATCCCAACCCCAGAAGCCGGGGGACGACAACGGAACCAAACTCATCAGTCTCGTCCTCGCATCCTGGTATAACGAAATCATCCTGCCGCTACTGCTTCAGAACCCTAGCCTGGGCGACGATAGTAAGGTCCACAATCAAAGAGAGTGCACAGCCGAGGAACTGCATCCATTCGTAGGGCACACTTTGAGAAGAATGGAACGGAAAAGGACCTGCGAAATCAGCATACGTGTGCTGTTTCCTGACGACGATGATGATGGCGACATGGTGGGTTACATGGTGTATGAATGGGACCTTGTGAAGGACATCACACGAGTAGCGCTAAGTGCCCGACCGGGTCTCCCACTGAAGGTTATACCTCTGCGTTGCCGTCACAGGCATGAACTCAAGCATGAAATGAAGATGTACCGAAAGATGGATTTGAAAATTGGAAAGATGCCTTCCAGCATCAAAATTGGAAAGCCAACGGCCCAGGATCTAATACTCTTCAGGATACCCAATCTACAGACAGTCGAAGCCACTGACGAGCAACTGGTCTCATCGCCGATAGCCAGTTAAATCGAGCTCAGTCGCTAAGAAGAGAGCGGAGACCCGACCCGAAGATGCACTCTATATCACTCAAGTTCAATTAGAATCTCGAATCACAAGTCACCTTCTTACATCTCGTACAATCTCGATCACTCAGTGAGCCTTACTCGGGACAGCTACACTTTGTGTCGCATTGGGAAAAAAATATTATCAAGCAAACTATATAGCTAGACGCCTACATTATCTTAGGAACTGCTTACTTCTTCACATTCAATAGTATGTATGCAGCAAGATATTACATACTTTTTAGTTACCTTGCTTGCTTGCTTAGCCTATATAAGGTCTCTTTGGTACTTTGTGTTCTGCAAAGAAGCTACGTGATATAATTTACGCGTTGTTGACCTTTGCTCCTGACAGTGAACGAGACCTTGGGATGCGACGGACTTTCTTATGGTCTTCGCTAGGTAGCAGCGCAGGGACCTCGATCAACACGCAATATCGCCAACGTCAACCTTTGACCGCCAGTAACCAAATACAGTATCTGAACAATGGTTTGCATTGCAAAGCTCCCAGCATGATCAAGACACGTGATCAGAGATTGCCTACAACGTGCTGTCTTTGGAGCTAGCGAATGTTCTGGCCTTGGTTGAAATGTCGACAGTCTAGCTTGCACCTGCGACGGTGCATAGAGTCGACGAACAGGAGGCTTCAGGGTCGCTAGTCCTAGCTTCTAGCCGTTAGGTAGTTTAGAAGGTTTTATGCTGACTTTTAGTGTTGTAAGGGAGAATTGACCCAAGTTTCACTAAAGCTTGAAGCGGCCTGTAGCCGAATTATTCGTCCCATTCTTTACCGAGAGCATCCACGATATAAGTCGTAATTTGGAGTAACGATTCAAAATTGTTTGTGCTAGGAGTATACATCATTTTTGAGAGTCTCTGCTTGTCAACATTCAATAGTGTGTATGCAGCAAGTGTGGTCTACAATCTGGCTACCCGTGATCGAAATCTCCCTATCTCTCGTCCTCGCTCGACCCGTGTAGGTTATCTACTTTAGATGGCGTGTCCTCTAGAGAGGCAACGTATGCCTTAAGCATGGCAACTACTTCCCTGTGCTTCTGTGCCAACGCGTATGACAATGCCGTCTGCCCTTTCTTATCTTCCATGCGAGGGTCAGCCTTACCGATTTTGGTCAGCAGCTCGACCACGTCTTTGTGTCCATTTCCTGCCGCTAACATCAGCGCCGTCGCCCCTTTAGCCTCTTGGGCGTTGACATCCCTTTTATCGTATCGTAGCAGCAGCTCCACTATGTCTTTATCCCCACACAAAGCTGCTTGGATAATTGCAGTTTCCCCCGACACATCCCTCGCGCCAAGGTTAACCTTGCCCGTATTAAGCAGTAGCTCGACCATATCCTTGTAGCCTAGCTTTACCGCTACATTCAGCGGCGGTGGCAGCACGCCAGACGCCCTGCGCCCACTCACATCGGCTCCAGCTCGGATGATTGTCAGAACAGCCTTCCTATCTCTCGCGTGTATTGCCCATGTTAGTGGCGTGAAGCGAAGCCCGCCTTCACTAGTCTGATACATCTCGAAGATCAGCTCGACAAGCTTCAAGCTCCCAAACTCAACAGCCCAGAGGCACCGGCCTACAGTCTGAGAGTCTTTCTTCAACTCCGAGGCTCTACTCTGGATTAATTTCACAGAGAGTGCGAAAATATTGTCCTTTTTGCTGGAAACATACCAGATATCATCCGTCCAGTACGTCTTCGCATAGTCAAAGAATTTAAAAGGGACGTCTGGTTCACTGTTGGGACGGCCACGCACTTCTGCAATTGTCTTGCTCAGATCGAGTGCAGTTTGCTTTCTACTGGCAAGAAGCTTCATGGCTAGATGACGACGCGCACTCGAAGCCTCCATAGTGCTCTGCAAGATGACAGACGGTGCTGAGTGGGCCAGGATCGGACGGACGTTGCCCTTCGATAGCTGTGTTTCGAAGACATTGTACCCGAGGTATGTTACCACAATGTCCGCCAGAGCATTCTGTACATTATTGACTGGAACGGTTGTCCACTCCAATTCTTCAAAGCTCATAAGGACAAAGTATCGGACGCTATGATGAACAACCCGGACGGTTGACTCTTCCTCGTCCACAGACAGAAGGCATCCGCAGCAACTCAGCGCTGAGTTGACATCATTCAACATCTTAGACGGGTCCCATGTTGCATCACCAGGAGTAACGCTGAGCGCTTCTCTTAACTCATAGATCATTATGGGTCGACGAGCGGCCATTATTACTTGCAACGTCTTCGCCTGAAGCAATTGATCTGAGCGTCCCGAGAAATACAGGATTCGAGAAAACGTCCGTGACAAGTCTTGGGGTAGTTCTGTTAGAGCTTTCCGGATAGCGTGATCAGTCTTCATGCTACACAAAGACTTGATCTGAAGAGACGGCCAGAGAAACATTCCTTGCGAGCCCTTGAGAAGCGCATCTTGAATCTCCAAGATCAATGCGGGATCTCCAATCGTCAGGCGTCCCGTCTCCAGACAACGTGAGAGCTCTGCTTCAATGAAGGCTCCAATCTCAGGGTTTTTCTCTGGCATGTGGACGGCAAAAGGGGTAACGAAACTGAAGGCGAACGACTCCAAACGCTCGTATGACCGGTCTCTGAATGACGCACATATCAGCATTTTGAGTGTTGTCTGGGCCTTCTTGATAGCTTCCGTCAACATCTCTCTCTCTTCGTCATGGCACTCGTCTAGTCCATCTATGATGAAGTAGGTTTTGCGGTTGTGTGGATAGCATTCGAAGAGGATCTGTAGCACATGTTCGATGTTATCGATGGCTTTAGTATCGACGAAGCTTTCTGCGACTGAACTGAAATCGAGGACACTTTGCAACAGTTGCCGTGCCAATGAGCCCACAATTGTGCGTGCCTTCAGGCTTGCCGGCTCATCAGGCCGGCAGAAAAAGTAGGCTATCATGGTCCGTTCTTCCTGGTGATAGAGGCTGAGATCATCCACTATGTTGGCCAGGAGCACAGATTTGCCTGAGCCCAGTTTACCCGTAAAGACCAGAGTGCAAGAATTTGATCGATCTCTCCATTCCTGGTATCTTGGAGTATCATCCTTGAATTTCGACGTGGTTCCAAGCTTTCTCGTTTGCTTCCAGGCTGTTTCGTGGTCGAATGTAGAGCACAAGTTGAGTATCCGGTTTTTTGTAGCGAGCTTCTGGTAATGCGATGCAGACTTGAACATGGAGCGGGATAAAGCCCTAAAGCCCGAACTTTCTTGGGCTTCAGATACTTGCATCTCCTTTTCGATTGATAACGCCCAGGTGTTGAGGTCGTTCTGGAACGCCTTCAAGTCTCCGTCGCTCAATGAGGATGTGAACTGCTTGAGCGCTGACTTGTTTCCGAGCTTGAACAGGTGACGACAGAGACTGACGACTACAATGAAGTACTCGGAGAGATAGGTTTGTAGCTTAGTAGACCGAGGATATAACAAGGCTATCTCTTGATGGCGCGGCGCAGAACGGCCAATCTCCATGAACATCGAGGATAGTTTGTCCATGTAGTTGGACACGTTTACGATCGACTGCGTTGCTTTAGTGACTGACTGCAATAGTCAGATACGAGCGAGGAACTGACTAGCAGCGACATGCGCACTAACGACCAAACACCACATGCTATCAGACTTTGTGACCCCCCAATTACTACATCTCCAAGTGCAGCAAACTGCTGGACTCCTTGTAGGAAGTTGGTAAATCGGGGCCCGAAACACTGGCCACCGAACCTCCCGGACATGTTCCGATCAATCTCGGCCGTCAGCTGCATGACATCGCTCGTGGTAGGTGCTGATGAGAACGATTGCGATTTCAGCGCTCGAAACTTTGCCTTCTGCTCGTCTGTGAGACCGGCTTCGAACTCGGAGACGGCCTGAGCGAGACGGATTTCAGGCTTCAGCGATGAGGCTTTAGCTAGGGCCTTGGACATGGCTAGAGCGTTTGTATCAGATTTCAAGGGCAATGCGGACTGTATTTTGTAAAACGAATGCGCGCGACTAGCAGACGCTTTTGTAATCGGCGGGGGCAGTTGAAGTTTGCCGCAGTGATAGAGAAAGGTCTATGCGACGCCAGCGGAATAGAGGATGGGAGAGGAAGTTGTATGAGGAGTATGTCTTATACGTTTCGCGTCAAGCAGGATGATGACATACAAGTAGACTGCGATGCCAACAATCAGGCTGAACGTGGCTGCGCATCTCAGTCGACCCCGCTTTCCTCTTCCTTGCACAGCACGGAGATCACTGGATCACTGTGCCGCACAGCTGCAGGGCAGATCGAGTTGACTAAACATAGATGCAACACCAGAGCGATAAGAGCGTGTGCTGAAATTGAAGGTATATTCCGCATGCTACAAGCTGCTCTTCACTGTTTCCTAGAATATGATGTGTATATCCACCGCATACGTGTGTTCCTCAACCACTCTATTTGTTCAGCTCCTCAGCCCTCTTCTTGAGGTCCTCCTTGCTCTCCGCCTTGGGCATGTTGTCCGGAATGGCTGGGCCCTATAACTACATTAGCTTCCATTCCGACCCAGATGTATAACAGCGGCACGCGAATAGCATACCTTGGAATTGTGAGCTGAAGCGGCTAGGTTTCCGCCCTCGGCGTGGTTGTCGTGCGAGGATGCGGTTGAGTCGGAAGACTCCTTTGCGATCTTGTCGGTGAGGCCTGTAGAGACGACGCGTCAGTTATGGCTTGAGCAGGATAGATGGTGTGGTGAGTGGTAAGAGGAGATCTAACTTACTGCCAGCGGCGCCCTGCTCAATTGGGTGGTCCGGCATGTTTGTTTAGGCTGATGTGGTGACTGATTGCTTCTGTCGTCGAGGCTTCGGTCCGCCGATGTAGAGGAATCCCTTAACGTAGGCGTCTACTTTGTCTTCAAGAGTCTGTTCTTTCACGTCGAGGTTCTTGACGTCTTGTTCGAGTGCGGCTGTCTCGTTGACTTTGTTGTCGGGCAGGTCGCGGAGGTTGGGAAGTTTCTGGTAAAGGGCTTGTATTTCCTCAGAGTAGGCTTGCAGTTCAGCAACAGAGGGGGTTGAAGACATGGCTGGTTATGTAGGGCTAGGCGTTGTAGCAACCGGGTAGTGCGTGATCGGTGACGTAGATGAGTGTGGCAGGCCCGCGGCTGGAAGCTGGCTGGAAGGGGAAGCTGCCGCTGGGTGGTGGGGGAGGGGCAGCCCTTGGCACCTGGGAACCTTGGTTCTGTGGACGCGGCCAGCACCGTTCAAGACTACTGTGGAGAGGTCGGTGGGTAAGCAAGATATCTTGCATGTGTATCATGGATCCTGTGTCGGCGGCTTCTCCGTGGTAGGTGCTGGAGGTGGTTGGGTCACGTGTTCGTCCAACAAGCCAGCGTGTATTTCTTTCAAGAAGGATATTGCTGCACACGCAGAGATGACAAGGGACGTGTAACTAGGTTGGACGTCAACGTAGACTTCATGTTATACGACGCGCCGCCGACATACCTGACCAGAAGCCAAATGAGACTGGAAGAGGTATGTTCTTTGAAGGCCTTGGAATTGAACTGCACTCCAACTGCATTGACGCTCAGTATGTCTTCGCACAATACTTACCGAGGGAGATTGAACCTACTGTAGAACATCTGCTTTGTCGCCTGAATGACAAATGCGAGGAGACCATATAGAGCTATCTGTGGAGCGAGCCGACCAGTGACGCGCCCGCCTTCCAACGTCCAACGCAGTGCGCCGGGCCGAGCAAGTTGGCACAAGTAGGCTAGGTGAAGGTTCACCTCGAAGCAGCTGATGCTGATCTTGGTCAACAAGACAGTGTCGCCTTGTATGCATGCTTGCGCTCCGTATAGGTTATCAAAAGCAGCCCATTGTGCCATGGGCTGGAAGAAAGGCGCATGCCATCTGCCACCGGGCAAGCTATGAGGGCGTAGGCAGACGTAGAGCATATCATACCAGCCACTCAACAAACTCACGAGACACCAGACAGCAATCCAGGATCGGGGGTTGTGAGTGTATGGCATCATTGATGTGAAGTAGGTGGAACGACATGACACCTAAGGATACGATGTGCTCTACATATGTCAATGTCGGATATCGGATGGAAGTGCACGCCTTCTGCCGTTCTTGCCGGATGGTACCTGTTGAACGCGTAGCACACTACAAGCTTTGGAGAAGACGATCGTGCCATGTAGCCGGAATGGCATGCGAGGATGTCGGGTTTGTTGACGTTCGGCGCTCTCTTGTTGATGGCATGCCGCGAGGCGTCACCAGCATTGCGTACTCCCTCCCCGCTGTCAACTCCACCCCGCGCCGTATGATTGCCAACCATGGAAAAGCTACTGCGCGCGATCGAAATGCGACGACACAATCTTGCAGTCGGGTCTAAATACGATAGCGCCACGATAGGCTTTGCGGGGAAGAAGCGCAGTATCGATGCGAAACGCGGATTAGCGGCTAACTCAGCCACGGCGACCGCGTCGGCATGGGTGCTTGGCCATGTCCCGCCCCTTCCAAGCTTCACGGCCGTTTCGCCTTTGGCACCCAGCGTCATTCCAGGGGACGTCAAAGCAAGCGATGCACCACCACATGACCGGGACATCATCTCCGCGCCTTATACTTCCTCCTTGATGCCGTGAACTCCTGTAGCGACATGAGGCACGTCCTGTCCCGTCGATCGTTATATCCCCATCCGTAGCCATATACCCCGGCCGGCCTCTGCACCGCGAACGACTCCCTTAAACCCGCTGGACGGAAGACTTGGACACTCGATATCGCCATGCCGTCGCTACTCGTCCACTCGCTGTTTGCGCGCCAGAATCCACTGGATGAGGCCAAGAACACGCTCAGTTCATGGGACAACTGCATGGCCAAGGCCTACTGCAAGTGCGTTGAATCGCCAGGCCTCAGGCTGCTTCCCCTTTGCTCACAGACAACAGATGGCCAGTGATAGTCGTAATCATCATTGGCGCCCTCATCGTCATATCCGTGGTTACCTGCATAGCGCGATGCATATGCTGCGGCGCCGAGTGCGCGTGCTGCTGCTTTAGATGCTGCACGTGCTGCTGCAGCGGCAGTGGTGGAAGAGGCCACAAGCGCGTCAAGAGCGATCCCGCTGCGCCGTATCCCACGCCCTATGGAGCGCCTCCTCCTCCCATGAACCCCTACGCCCAGGCGCATGCCGCTGCGCCGCCTCCTCCACCCATCGACACCCGCCCGGTGAACCAGCAGTATCGCTCCAACGCCATGCCCACCTTCGCGCCAGCTGCGCAGCCCGAGAGACCGCAGTTCGCGACATTCGATTCGACACGAGCCGTCGTCAACGAAGATTCACTTCCCGCAATGCCCACGTGGAAAGACGGTCGTGACGTACATGTCCAAGTCGAGGAACAACCCATGCCGCAGAAGCAAGGCGACATGGAGATGGATAGGCTAGACCGCAACGGCAGTCCAATAAGCGGATCAATGGGAGGTGTAGCAGCGGCGGCTGTGCCCACACAAAGACGATCGCCTGGCCCGGGCCGGTCCCCAGTATCTCCAATGGACAACTACGGTCAGGGCTACCCTCAAGGCGGATACCAAAATGATTCCTTCGTCAGCGAAGGAGCCCCATTGAACGGCCAGGGTGCATACGGCCGACCATACGCGCAGCAGGACGACTACCGCAGAGGTTCGCCAGGGCACAACCTGTCACCAGTCTACAGCGCAAACGAAGGATACGCGCCACAGCAGCAGCAGCAGCAGCAGCAACAGCCCTACGGCCGCCGCTCGCCAGGCGCGCCCCAAGCCTACGACTCCCACGACCAGCTTAGTCAATACAACCAGCAACCAACCTACAATCAACAACCCTCCTACAACCAACCGCAAACCTACGACCAGCGCGACTACTACGACGAACCCGACCACCGCCACCAATCCCCCTCACCACCCGCCGCAAACCCCTACGCCTACAAAAACGACCCCTCCCCGTCGTACGATACCTACACGCCCCCGCCAGCACCAGCAGCGTTACAGCCCGGCTACGCAGCCTCAGAGTCAACAAACCATGGCTCTTTCACAAATGCGGCGCCAGCATACCCAGGGCAGAGGTCGTATACGCCGGTGGCTGGAAGTGTGGGACAGCAGCAGCAACCATATCGCGCTTTTACACCGGGCGCGGAACAGCAACAACAACAACCACAGCAGCAGTATACTGGAGTTAGCAGGAAGCCTGTTGATGGGTCTTTTAGGGAAATATAGAAATAGCATGTATGTTTTCGTATGTAAGGAGAATGTGATACCCATACAAATAACCCCTTTCATCGAATCATCACCATCGTCCCTTGCGAAAGGACTGCCAGCGCGGCCATGCGGTTCTAATTTTACAACAGTCGCGGGGCCGAATGTGCACATAGGCAGACTGGGCGTTCACTAGTGTCCTTCAGCCTTGCTTGCTTAATTTCATCGCAACAGATATTACTTGACTGCCTCCAGCCTCTACAAATCTCCTGACGGATTGTTCGTTGCACGAGCGTCCATTTACTGTCCAGACGCATTCTACCGGCAAAGCTGCCACTTCACTTCCATGCTTTCTCGAGGTCTTGCGTTACCTATCTTCCAGCCTCGCGAGCTTAGTATACCACCAACAATGGCAGACGCAGTCATGCATGTAGAGCAAGCCCAACATGGTCCATCAAGCAAGCAGACCGTGTACGAAAGGCACGCTCTTCCCCCACGTACGAAATCGATACGCGTTCTCGACGTGCGCCCAATTCCCACAGATGCACCCGAAGGTACCCCAGTCGAATGCACTCTACGCATCATCAACCTCGACCTCGACCCCGCCTTCACAGCATTATCATACGTATGGGGCGACCCGACTCCTACCCGCAGCATTGTGTGCGATGGCGTTATCTTTGGCGTTGGCGAGAATTGTTACTCAGCCTTGTGGCACCTGAGCAAGAAGCTCGGAGGCCTAGTCATC